ATATATATATATATATACATACACATATACATACATGTATATATATACACACACACACATCTTATTTATGTCATTTGCAGTAAATAATGTTTAATAAGTAAAGAAGTCGGAAGATAGCAAGCACAACTCACCCATCTTTTAAGTGTTAATGGAAGTTTTTTCATAAATCGAAATAAATCTAAATATTAACTTTCGTACTCAAAATTCAGATTTTATTTTACTAATAAAATATATCTATTCGAATTTATATTCGTTGACAGCCCTCCTGGTTTTGTTTTAAGCTGTTTTACTTTTTCAAGTAATAATTCCTTGTTTTTGTCCATGCATTATATTATAAAAGTTATTGTCTTTTTGTTAACTTAGCCTTTCAAAAACGTGTGGCGGTTTATCGTCACTACTGTCACACTACGCAATAGCTCGCAATGAGCTCTGCTAATAGCAGAACCAGCTCGCCCCTCCCCCTCCCCCCACCAACTGCAACGCTGCTATGAACAGTGAGCACATGCAAGTCCTTAAAAGAGGTAATCAAGCTAAACCACTGATCCTAAGCTGTGTGAGCCGTTTGACGAACGTGCACTCCTTCATGATCTGCAGCGAGCGAGCACCAGGGGAACACCCACTGGGTCTGACCCACTCTCTAATTTGAATGTGAAGAAGTTTACTGACAACACAGGGGCAAACAAAAAAAATAAAAATATATATATATTAAGGTGCAACTTCTCAGCTCGTGAAAAGCAGCCTTTAAATATGTCTGGTAGCACGGTCTACCGCGTAGCAGATAGAGGTGTGACACCGGTGTGGCTAAAGGCATTGCCACTGTAGCCTCGACACATTTGTAGAGCCGTAGTGCGACTTTAAGCTGCGCTGGAGAGACGCGTTCTCGATCTCATTAGAGAGAATCAGCCCATCTGTGGCAAAAGTCACGGGCCGCCGACTTGCACACTTTCACATCCTCACTGATTTTCCAGTTGATAGGACAGAACTTCTCCCCGCTCCCTTCCTCTATCTGCGTGCACGTGTGCACATATGCTTTTCTGTGCACCCACACACACACACACACACACACATGCCCGTTTGTTACCGCCGCAGCAACTGAGGAGGAACACAGTGAGGGAGAGAAAGAGGGGCGCTCGTACCTCCTCACTGCAGGCCGTTTCTTTGCTGGCTAACCGAGGTTACTATTTTAGTGTCTGTCACTTCCTCCTGTCATGACAAGCCACTTTGAGTTAAGCCGGTTCTCAGCTTAGCAGGCTCTCTCCCACTTCTTCTCTGCAGCTACCGCACCTCCTCCACCTTCACCAACTCCCCCCTCCCTTCCTATGCGAGGTGCTAATCTGACTACCATCGTGTGAGAGAGGGGGAGCCTTGCCAACAGAAGGCACAGGTGTGTCAGCATCAGACCGCTGCACCGTTTCAGTAAAGAGAGAGAAAGACATGGAGAGACGGAAAAAAATGAGAAGACAAAAGAGGAAAGAGTCTCTGACCTTTGAGTTGCCTGGCCTGCGATGGACCTGCCTCCGCTGGAGGGATTTGGCCGGGCTCCTGCTCGACATACAGCAAAAGAAACAAGACAATAAGAGAAACCCTCTAACACAGAAAATAACAGAGGAAATGGACTGCAAATGCAGCCGCTCTTTTTCTTAAACAACATTCAGTAATCTATGCTTCATCCGATGATAACCCATTTGAATTGTTACTTATTTCAGTAATGATCGAAACCTCATGCAACCCCACGGTTTCCAACATTCTACTGTTTCCACATGAAGACCTTTTCTGTTGCATCGTGGTGGTGTTAGCGGATACAGACCGAAGCACATCCACTGTAAGCTAATGCAGGACAAAGCAGACCACTTAAAGACACGAGCTGAGTGGCTTTCAAGGTGTAGGAAAAAATGATTGCAACAGGAAGTAGTGCAGTTAGACAGAGGGAGAACAGAGTCACGAAACCTTACAAATACTAAACGTCTGAAGGAACTGGGTGATGATGGACTGAATAAACTGTATTTTTCTTGCTTTTGAAACAGCAAAATATGCCACAAACTGTGCTACCGGACGTCTCTCTGTCCACTGCTGCTGCGGTGATGATGGAAAACATAGCTGTCTACCGATCGATGGCGTTAAGTGATATCCACTAAAGCACTCAGAGCGCCAGATCTACGCTGCTACGCTACTGTACAGGGAGGGGAACAGGGCTGGCCTGCAGCAACATTTACCAGCGGGTCGGCCTGCATCCCCCGGCGGTGAGCAGGTCTGCTGTGCTCCGTTTGAGCCCCCTCTACCCACCACTCAGATCCCACCTCCCCCGGGCCGCCGTCGTCATCGGTGCCGTACTCCACGTCGATCTCTTCACTGGGACCGATGGGCGGCCTCTGAGCCTGTGCCGATTTGCTGACCAGGTAGGGTCTTGGCGGGCTGGGACCATGGCCGGGGTCGACTGCCGCGGCGACAGCCATCTGACTCCTGAGCATGGCCTCCCTCCTAAGGCGGTCCCCTAGCCCTTTGAGCAGTGCTCTGTCTTTGCTGGTGGTGGGGGTCAGCTGGGGAGGACAGCGGGCCCGCCTGCTGGCGAGACCCTCATATAAACTCGGGTCTTGTTCTTCAGGATAACTGATGGTGTCAACTGTGTCTGCGTAGTGCACCCTGTGCTGCTTCCTAGGCCTGATCTGCCTGAGTAAAGGCTCTGTGGTTAGGGATCTGGGATCCCTGTTGTAGTGGTGATGGTGAGGGGGGAAGTGTGGGTGTGGGTTGGGGAGATACTGGGGTGCGCGGTGGAGGCGCTCCGAGTCTCTAGGGCAGAGGTGGCCGGGCCTGGGCCAAGGCTGACTGCGTTGGTTTGAAGGCTCTTCTATAATGCTGTCTTCCTGTTCGGTCACCTCGGGAATGCTGAACAGCTGCTCGTGGTGTTGGACCTGAGCCGGCAACTTGAGGATCCTCTCTAGTACCTCCTCATCACTGTCTGGAGGCTCCAAGTTGCGCGACTATACGGCCGAAAGGTCAAAGCAACCAAGAGGCGATTGGTGAAGGTGGGACGGGAAATCATATCGTTCAGTGAAAATAAGGGAAGTGCAGACGAAACAGAGGACAAGCCGGTCATGCAGAGGAAAGAGAAAAGAAAAGAAAAAGAAGAAAGAATCTCAATCAAGCATGATTAAAAACATGAAAGAATGCCACTGAATGACGACTGAGCTATGCAAGACAAACTGAAAGAAGCATGTGTCATTCGAAAAAGCAGAACTCACAAAGTGCCCGTGCAAATGGCCACAAACTATGCAGTGCACTGTTTCCTTTACCCTGTTGGCTCTGAATAAGTAGCCCCGGGCCTGTGCGTCTCCGAGGTGGTCAGAGTAAAGGTCCTCCTCCTCCTCCTCCAGGATGTCGGACAGATCTGACCGGCTGTTGTCTGTGTGGTAGTCGCCGGGAGGCTCCACAAGCCCTCTGCTGTAACTCTGAAATAAAAAAACGTCAACATACTGAAACAAACTATCCAATTCAGCCGACATTCAAAACCCTTATTAGTCATTCCTATAAATATCGACAAAAATGAATAGATCTGCAAGTTAAACGAGAACATGTTGCAGATACAAAGGCACACTTGAAACAAAGCTGTATTAATAATACATACGGCTGCCTGTCATCGGCCCAATGCTTTTACCTTTGAAGAACAGCACTGGTAAGAGAAATATGATACAACTAATGATGTCGGCTTTCCTAATGCGAGAGCAGATGTCAAGAGATACATGCTCTAAACTTTGCATTATGCATTGTCTCCATTAATCCATCAGGATTAATAAATTGCTTTACAAGCAACAAATACTTCGCAAATAAATGGGCATATTTTAATTAGGGTTTCTGCAGGTTCAACAAGTTAAATGTAAGACGTCTTAATGCCACATGGATGTGGTTCCACTACCGTATATCCTTATCTACATCAAGTATGTAAGTGAGATGCCTAGCATGGCCTGGAATTATTTTATTATTATGTCACATTTTTTCAGTACTTCCCAGTAGCATATGTTTTTGTGGCTTTTGGTGAATCAGAACTAACGCTTTAAAATGCCAAAGTCACACAATAACACAAACAAACCAACTGAGGCAGCTGTAGACCACCAACTCACATGAGAGGTGAAATTATGGGTTTTGTCAATGGAGTCTTTTGGCTTTGTCTGATGAGAAGTCAAAACATGACAATATTCAAAATATAGCATATACATAAAGTGATATTATTATTTTGAATAAGAGTCTTTCTTTCAGGAGTCTAAAACAGGTTTTGCTGCTGCCCACGTCCACAGCAGTACATTGCTTTGCTCCCATGATGGTACTCAGGTCTGTTTCCACCAGCTGGGGGCGTGCTGACTGCCATCCACAGTAGGTACTACACTGACTATGGATACCTCACACATCCCAACTTTAATTGGTGAATTAGACGATTAGAATTAATTAGACAACACCTCTGGAGGGTTCAACCAAAAATGGGATGATGGGACTGAGCTGCAGCTGCATGCGATATTCATTTTTCTAGTGACGAGTAAACTATTTGTCAACAAATCAGTGCTGACCTGCTGCGTACTACAGTACGCTGGCTCTTGGTCCTGTCTCAAGAACTCCTCCATGGACACCAAGCGGGAATTCTCTTGATCCTCCTCTGCTTCGGACTCCAGCGGTGAGCTGCTGGGGGGTCGGTGAAGGTTAATGTCCGGAGGATTAAGGAAGCCTGTGATCGGGGCTTTGGGCGGGGAAGGGATGCGCTCGGGGCTCCCGAGCTGGGCACCGGGGTCCTCGAGGAACTCTACCATAGATGGGAAAGGGCGTATCATTCCGGGGCTGCTGGTGTCTCTGTGCTGCTCCAACACGGCTGCTGTTACTGCCGTTACTGGTACTTGTGCAGTTGCTGCTACTGGAGATGGTTGAGGTGGTGAGGTGGGGGGAGAGGTCACTTTTACCTGAAGACGAGAGAGATGGTCAATACAACACTAATTAACGTTCGATTACAATTATTCTAGATATTAGTGGTGAATAGTCTGTTAGCGGTGGGCCACACCACTTAGCCTATATTGTTTTACATTTTGGCACATTGGCAGCATTAACAGTCTGCCGAATTAGCAGTTCCTGTTTGCACTGAACCCATCGATGAACGGACAGTTATTGTTGAATAGAAACTTAAACACGAGATGACTCTCAGCCGTGTTCCGGGGAAATATTTACGTTTATTCGTGATGGAGAAAGCAGATAATGATATCCGACCTAAAAAATGAATGTCTGTGTTCAGATTTGACGGATATTGCAGGAATCGGCTGTTTGGGATTTAAAGGTACCTTCATTGCCTCCATGGGCTGCCAATGCTGCAGCTCCAACTGCCGACTGTGTTCATAAGCTGCTCAAACTACAATTACTAACTTCCAGTTGTTTTTAGAACAACCGGCGTGCTCCTGTCCCTTCACTTCATGCAGTATCTTTGCCTCACGTCTCCCTCTTATACTCCCTTCAACCCGCCTCAACATCTGGAGGCGAGTTGGAGGATGGAAGAGTGAGGATTACCTCTAGAGTAACGGTGGAGGCTATTGGTAATGTGGCCTCACGTACAGCCAAGGCAGCAGCAGAGGAGGGGTTGGCCCAGGCATTCACGTATGAAGCTGATAAGAGAAGGTCATCTGGGTGGAGGGCTCGAGGAGGGTTGGCAGCAGCCTCCACTGTGAGGCCATGGATGTTTGTGTCCGATGGCAAAGCGCTGGGCAGCACGGAGACTTTGGCAGCGGAGTTCCCGTAGGACGGCGGCAAGGGCAGGTGGCTGCAGCCTGTAGGGGTGCGGGGCTGGGGTTGCACCACTGGGGCGGCGGTGGCTGGACCTGCCATGATGGCGGCCAGCTTGGAGGGCACATTGACTGGCAGAGAGTCGCAGGACTCCCCGTGGGCGGACATGGTGCGGAGAGTGAGCTCCCGAGCGGCCAGCAGGGACTGCATCTGAGAGGGGCCCAGCAGGGCACTGCCGGCTGTTGGGGAAGACACCTCCAGCACCTGAAATGGGAGACAGACAGGTACATCTTTTCTTTTAAAACTGTACAGCAGCTCCCAAAACGCTATATACTGAAATCAAACCGCAATGCACCGCTTGGCAACACATAAAAAAAAACTTAAGGTTTTTGCCTTTTTCTTGTCAGCATATATAGTGTATCCAGTGACACGGACTCCGTTGGAGGTCCCAGCAGCATCGATAGTGACCGGCAGCCAGCTGATGAGGGCAATGCCCGGGGAGGGGCCGTGCTCCAGCTGTACATCCAGAGGAGCATCAGGGGGTCCTGCAGGCATTGGAAGCATCACACCACGGCCAGCGGCAAGCAAAAGATATATTTTCATATTATTATAGGATCAAGTGATTCACACTTGAAATTACAATGTTTGGGATAAGAAATTAATATCACAACGGGAATATAATTCTACGGATTTTTAAAAAAGCGCCATCTAATACTCTAGAGGGACATTAAGAAACGTAGAAACCATATACCTGCGTTCCCAGAGTGTGGGCATGAAACTTAAGCAAATTTCAACGATTATTTAGAGAAACACAACTCAAATGTAATATGACACTGATCACAAATAAGCATCTAAGATTCATTCATGAAAAGCAAAAACAAAGAGTAGATTAGAAGGAGCAGAGTGGCAATATGGTACCACAAACTGATGCCAAATGGTGTTTGCAGTTAGCGACATCCGTTCACAGGAAATTCCGATTCTTTGAGCGTCCCCTTTTAGTCTCGCCCAACGTTTTGTTGGCAAGCCAGGAACGAGAAAATGCGAAGGGAACCTCAAGATCAAATAAATACCAACTTGCCATCATAATAAAACCCTACTTCCTCATCTACAGCTTGATCGAGGGAGAGGACGGCATCTGCCGTGACCAATCAAGTCCCCCGTTTCCCTTCTCTTTGAAGTGATGCATTCTGTGCCATGGTGCTGTGGCTAATGAATAAGAGAGAGACGACTCAGAGCAGCTCTCATGAATAAACTGATGTCCTTGTGTGGGAGGTACAGAATCACCACCACTGAATACAAGACATCATCTGAATATAACCCATTGGCTCCGATCACACTGTGTTGATCTAATTCAAGAACCGGGGAGAACCAGCAGTGGACTGTAGGAACAGTTTGGCTGAGGGAGAGACAGGACCTAACAACGGTTAAACAATCCCCAATGCATGGCACATACCAACAATGCTACTGTCTATAAAACATCAATCACTAACATTCGAATACAGATAGATTTGAACATTTTCAAGGAAATTGGTCGCTAATCATCAAACTGAGATTTCTTCTTTCTGTTTTCTTAATAATAAAAAGTAGCTTCTGTTTGATGGAGGTAGATCAGAGGGGAAGGATACTTCCACTCCACACTGCTCCAAAAGATTCACATTTTCGATATTGAACGCATACACGTGTATCTAATCTAAGTCTTATAATTGGCCCAGACATTTTATTCTGCGACAAAAATCACAAACCCCTTTCCAAATTCCGAATTGTAACACTGATGTCCTGGGTGGATAAAATACATATGTGCATCTGAATTACCTAATGCAATCAGCTGCTTCTGTAGACCTTCAGTATCTGGCTGTTATTGTTTTGCAGAGGCTTACTCTTGGTCCAATTTACGCTTTGATATGACTTAATTTCGAATGAGGAGAATTAGTCTTGATTGATTCGTGACCCATTGATTCTGTGTAAGTGTAATTGTATATTAGACGATAAAAGATAGATATTTGATACATAATAAGATCCTAAATCCTGACCTGCCATCAGTGTGGTGAAGGTGATGGAGGCGCTCCTGTGTTCGCGTCGCTCCACGGGTAACTCCCACGGCGTGCGGTGCGGCCGTGCCTCCACTTTGACCGCGTACTGCAGGCTGGGCAAGAGGTTATTGAGGCACAGCGAGCTGCAGCCAGCCTTCACCAGCTCGCACTCCTCCTCATTCAAGGACACAATGTGCACATAGTTACTGTTGCTGGGCAGCCAGGTCAGGTTGGCAGAGGTGGCGGTGATCCTCTCCGCGCGCAGCTGCGTGGGCGCCACACAAACGTCCCGACCGACCAGCATGCTGCAGCGCAGCTGGTCCGAGGGGCCCTTCTCCGTCAGGCTTTGCACTGACACGCGGTAGGCCTTGAGGTTTATGTCCAACCGCTCCAGCACCGCTTTGGTCTGGGCACCGAAGGGCACGTTGAGCCGCAGCTCCTGGTCCACGTACACATTGTAGCTCCACACGTTGCCCCACCCGGCTGGCACCAACGGAGGGTCCCATCCGATGATGATGCTCTTGGCAAGCTGCTTGATGAGGGTGAGCTTACGTGGGTAAGGCACAATGTCCACTCCCACCTCCTCCAAATCCAAGTCCAGGCCGTTGGTGAGGGGGGCTGGGACAGCCAAGGCCGATGCTGAGTCCGAGGGGGCTGAGGCAGGGCCAGAGGCGGTGGAGGCCTCTGTCCTTGCTGAGGCGCTGGCGCCCACGTGGAGGTGACGCTGGTGGCTGGCACTGTGCAGGCTGCTGTCTAGCAGGGAGTTATGGGACACGTCCCCCGTCTCTGGATGGTGACTGCTCATGACATCGTCGTCCGACACGCGTTCCACAAAGTTAGAGGGGACCAGCCCTCTCCGTCCATCCATCAGCTCGCCTGTGAGGAAGCCACATTAAATGCTGAACACCCCCGTCAATGCAGAAATATGAATTTGTAGATACAACATATACTCGTGGATTTACCTTCATAGAAGCAGTCGTCGTCCATGTCTCCATACACGTAGATGTATTCTCCAGCCGTGAGTGGAAGCTCCACCTCAGGGTTGTCATTGGGGCCATCGTATGGATTATAGCTGTTGAAAATTCATTCACCAGGAAGTTATTTCTTCATCCCGTATTAACAAACTATCGACATGGTGACTCAGCTCTTGCCTTAGTTTAATACTCACCTGTATCGTGCAATGAAAACCTGAAGCTTTGCTGCTCCTCTGCAGGCTGTGTAAGGTGCAGGAGCTACGTCAACGTCCAGCTCCTCCACTTCACTGGCGGTGTCCACCTGAGAACACCATGGACAGAGGGTGAATTGCCTGGACCCTGAGGCAATCCGAAAACTGCTTGGAATGGTGTGCAAAAACTAATCAAACAGAGATATATATTTATTTCTTTTTTAAATTAAAAGCAGAAGTAGAGGGATTGCTGTGAACTGGATTGAATAAACAAGAATATTCTTTAAAAATATATTTATTAACATTTTTCTATATATATATATAAAAAAAAAAAAAAAAAAAAAAAAAAAAAAAGAGTTTACTGTAAATACTGAATTACTCATGAGCTACTATAGGTGAATGGTCGTGCTAATATTTTTGTTGTATAGTGATTTAATATTAATGAGTCACTGTTGCTGGCAGAGAATCACCTTGACACCCGAGCTGGATTTCCATTCAGAGCTGCTCCACCAGTACAATAAGAGGGCTGGTTTATTTATAGCTCCCTGGGAAAACCTTTTTAAGGATAATCACTTACAACTACTACCACATAACCTTCATAATCCACAGTGGCGAATGGATTATCTCACTAAATATGAGCTTTATTGAAATATGGGCAGACGAGATGAGAAGACCACCAACCTGTCTGTCTCTTTGCCTGACAACAAAAACACTATATCGTGGCGGAAGATCCAAATAACTTCTCTTAAGAATGAGCAGAGGAAGCTGGATCATATTCAGCAACAGTCTGGGCACGCGTGAGATGACAGGGAGGTTTAGGAGAGCTTTCTAATCCATCAAATCCACACAAAATGTGATCGTGCGTTGCCTTCTTGGTAATCTTGATGAGCAATCTGCCTGTCTTTGTAGAAACAAAGACAGGCAGGAGAGCTGCAGGCAGGAGTCCTGCATGACGACATAACCCCGGTGAACGTTAAAGGGATAGTTTGAAGTGGGGTTGTATGAGGTACTTTTCCATAGAGTTAGTGTTTGTATCTACAGTAGATAGCGGTCGGCACGCCTCCATGCTAAAGTAAAAAAAAGGAATTTTACCTCGCAGAACAGGGAAGTTGTAAATGACTGTTTTTGTCAAAGGAGTCGAGTGTGTTTGAAGAGAGAACAGATAACGGCTTCAGTTCCCCGTCTGACGGCAAGGTAAAGCATCGAAAATATTGTAAATATGAAATACACTTAAACTGACACTTACAATATTTTTAGGTGGGCCTTTCTTTTAGTTTGGTTAAAGCACATTTTACTGCTGCCCCCTTGTCCAGAGCAATACATTGCTTTGCTGTCCGTTTCTCCAAACTGGGGGTGTGCCGACCGCTATCTGCTGTAGGTGATATATCGACTATGGATGAGTACCTTATACAACCCCACTTAAAAAAAAATCTGAACTATGACCAAAGGAGCATTATCACAAACCTACAACCAGGGCTTGAAATAAACACTAACCGCCTCCAATAAATGCTGGCAAAAAGAAAACCATTTTGGCTAAATGTTGAGAGTGGCTGGCAACTTGTAAATGTAGTAACCATTGGACCACGGTTTCATAGAGATCATTTTAAGCCACGCCTACAACCTGTATCATATTGTGAGAGGTGGCGTCGCCTTACATGCAAATTGTACAGTATATCACTGACTACTAAGTTCATAGTTAATGTGCACTGCTCCTGATGAATGATGAAGAAAGTATTCTGAAATGAGTGACGCGCTGCACATCGCCCCGGCTGGTACCTCGTGTGTTGGGCTCGATTTGTGCGGACTGAGGTGCGTGTCAGACTTGGGGGTGAGGTGCGTGGTCTCGGACTTGCTGGAGGATGAGCCTGACTTGCTGACGCTGATGGTGGGCAGCTCTCGATGCTTGGTGAGGGGCGAGCGCTCCACCCTGGACAGCCCCGCAGCGTGGGGGGTGGCCCCCAGCCGCAGTGCGGCGGCCACATCTAGCAGGCAGGGGAGAGAGAGAGAGGAAGAGGATAATACATAATCTGTGACTTTAACAGACGAACCTGGCCCTGTCACTTGTTAAACTGGTTGAATCCATGAGCAGCTAGGTGGGGGCGAGATAACCGGTTGACATGCAGGAGGCTCAAGGTTGAACCTGGCTGATTAAAACGGTGGAGGAAAAAAAAATCCTGTGTCCATCTGTCTGAGGTCAGAGGTGTGTCACACCAGCGATGTTAAGGGGCTTAACTGGGACATTTTCTCACGTCGGCCCACGAGCACCGACCCTCACGTGATAATGAGCATTTACGGACGGTGCTGGACTGCGGTGGTGTGTTAGGGTGAGATGACGGGTTGGAAACATGCCGTGCTTTAATGACAGTGCCCAACACATATCATGAGTGACAGAGACGGAGAGAGTACCGAGCGGATCTTTACCCTCAGGGCAGGAGAGAGTGTCACCTCCCTCGAGACTCCAGAAGGCTATTTCACCCTGAGACACCATGTCCCATGAGCCACCAGTGCAGTCTAAAACACACGAACAGTGCAAGGAGAAAGAGGTTGGATGGATACATACAGTAGGTACGATTTGGACTAGTTTGCACTGTTGTTACGGTTAAGGAAGTTGTGGCTGGGGATTACATCATAATGGATAGTCTTAAAAGCATGCGCCTGTGCCTTTAATTCACAGCCTGTGCTGAACAAGCTGAAAGGTAAGAGGTTGTGCTCAGTTTGTATTTCTGACACACAAAAGAGAATCTTTGGAAGACTGGACTGATGCTGCTGGTCTACATCTCACAAGCCATGCTTTGTGACAGGATGTCCTTTGGAAATGAAAGAATTCAAGTACACTAAAAAAGATTATATACCATGAAAGTTGAATAATAGATTATTAACATTCTGCTAATATGCATTTATATGTTGGTAACCTTTCTTTGTGGATATTATAAATTAACCAATTTGTTAAAATCTCTTAAACATCACAGAAAAAGCACAAAGAATCCTCTGATGTACAGCTAATGGCAGTTAGCAATCATCAACCATCGTGAGGAAAAGCCCTCAACAACTATCACCCTCTCTGCACAGGTTGTACTTTCGGGTGTGGGAACGCGTCACGTGGTTTGTGGCTCACCTCGCTCTGCAGTCAGGCCCACCCCGTTGGTCAGAACAGAGAGGCTGGGGTTGTTGAGGAGGCTGGCACCGGCCAGGTCCACCTTGGAGGCCTGTAGTCGAAACTTCTCCAACTCCTGGGACAGCAAGCCGAACTGTTCGCTCTGGCTGCGACACTTGTCCTCCAGGTCTCGTACCTTCGACTGCACAAATGGCGCGACGGAAAAAACGGCCACACAGTGAAAGCAGAGTTATCGACCAGTTGACTAAACACACAAGCAAGTGAGCACAGCTGTTCTCAAGGAGGTTGGTGGAGTGGAGTTTGAACACAAGGGGCTTTATGTGAATCTCGAGCGTTGTATTGTAACACCTCAGTCATGTGGAGGGATCTAACAACGTGGGCCCCGTTTTCATATATGCGCAACGACCAACGCAAGCAGTGCTTTGACCGCTCGGTATTTTCCTGACCTAGAAATACAGTTTGACCGTCTGTGTGGTATTTTCGTAGTTAGTGCAGCGGCGCACAGGTGGGACCGCAGGGGCCTTTACACACGATTTAACCTTCATTAAATCGTGTGCAAACGACACCAGAACACGCCCAGACAGTTTGTGCACCCCTGGAACAACTGCTTTGAGTTGGTCTTGCGCAATTAAAATGGGGCCTTGTATGTAAAAGTAACCTGCTTAATAAATTGCCAGTGTCGTGCAGAAACCTTTGATGCCTACACAGACACTTACTTGGTTGTACTACTATACGATAAGATAAAAACGATGATTATTTTGGTGCGTGAGCAGAAGGAACAGTTTAAGACAGCAACATACAGTTCATACATTGCTGCCTATAAAAGCTAATGCATTATAAAACAAAGCACTGCCAATATACGGTTAGGATTCTGCAAGACAGACTACATAAACTGTCAGGGAAACATTTTATATAAGCTTCAAACACAAATTACAGGTTCAGTTTGAAAGAAAAAGGGAGGGAAACAAAGGTGGGTAGTTTTCTGGTAAAAACCAGAGTGGGAGGGGTAGCATACAGTAGGTTAAGAGAATTCTCTGCATCTGTTTTACACTTTGTTCACTTTCACGAAGCCACTAGACAGCAAGGTTTGTCTTAGCTCCACTGAGTTATGTGGCTGATTTCACTTCAGGTTGCGGTGGGAGTTTCCTGGCAGGCAGATCTGACAAAAAAAAAAAGCCTCCGCACAAAACAGTCTGAACAACATTTCCTGTTAGCTCTCACCTACGCAGAGCCTCGCCTGCGGCCGGCCGTTATCTGGCTACACTGAGCTGAAGCGGTAATGAGGACCGGAACACCTGGAACTCTCACATGAATACTGAAATATAATAAAAGCGGTGTGTTGGGTGTAAACAAATGGGGGAGGGGGGGGGGGGGGGGGGGGAGAGTCTACCTCAATGTAATACGATCAAATAACAAGCCAGCATGATAAGTGTGCTCAGTGCAGCTGGGAGCGCTAACCGTGCCGTATCTGGTCTCATGTGAATGACCTGATTTACACGCTGTTTGCAAACCTAAAAAAATAAATTGCACCATCATCAAATGAGCCTCTGTGGCCACATGAAGCATCTATGAAAGACTGTCATAATAAGTACTGCGGGGCTGTTGCTATTGCTTTTAATTTAACTTTATGAAGTAAACGGTCAACTCAAAGGATTTAAATAGAAGTAATTGGGGTTTGGTGGTTCTATCTACAGGGGGCCGGGGTGGGGTGGGGGTGGGGGGGGCGGGGGGCAAGCTGGCTAAAAGGTTAACAGTACCTGCATGCAGTCCAGTGTACTCTGGTTAGCAAAAAAGTTAACACAAAGGACAGAAAAAAAGGAAAGATGCTTGTGAAAGGATGAATCTGAGAAAGAGAAATCGTATTAATAAAGCAGAAACACAGCAGTCCGAGTGCAGGTCTGCAAGAAAATCCTGTCGGGGAACCGGCATCACTAGAATGTGTCTTTGGCCCTCTGCAGCAGACAACCTGCCTTTTTATTTTAATGACTGCAAATATTCTGCTCAATCTTACAAAAGGCAGCGCGTTGACTTGGCAACACAAAGCTCGGGTCCTCGAGAGGGAAAAGAGGCTTTCTCCTGTGATGCTTCGGGTCTAAATACACACAGCAAGTGAGAGAAACAAAGCGAGAGGAAGGAAACAAGCATTTAAAGAAAAACAGGAGCAACTATACTCTACCAGCTCCCTCTGCAACACAAGCTGAGTCAACTCCTAAAATAAAACACACACTTCATTTTAGCAGAATGCACTGTGTGAAAAAGTGGAGCACAGAGAGCAGACATATATAGTGTGGAGGACTTTTTGAAGGCTCTCTGTTTTTATTTTTTTTTGTCATCATTCAAAATCAGCAACCAATCAGAAGACAGAAGGGGACTTCCAACTGTCACCGACTGTCTGGATTCAGTTTGAATTCGAAGTGCGTTACACTCACACAGAGAGCAAGTTCAAACGTCACAGTGCAGCGGAGAAGACATCTGTTCAAACGGTTTTCCAGGCCCGCGAGCGCGACAAAAATACCAGTACGAGTGTTTTCTGCCAGGTGTCTAGATTAGAATAAAGAGCTGCTTCATGTGGCAACGGGATGTCTTTTGTCTGCCAAACACGGGGAGTTCATCAAATATTCATATTCTTGTTGCTTGGTGTTAGAGATAAGAGATCATTTTCTTTCATGAGGAATTAGATTTGATCTTGTCAGACAGAAATACGCTAGTGCGTGAGAGGAACACGGAGGAAGTCTGAAACACACTCCTCCTCTTTCTAATGTCGGGGCCGAGTGAATTGGGTTCCAGCCTCTTGTGTGACTGTAATAAACACTCGCGCCTTAGATTTCCGTCTTGGTAAATCATCATAAAGTTCTTGAAAGCAACTCAGGGACTCGACTGCGTGGCAATAAAAGCACTGCATGGTGTAGAAAGAATGTCTCTGCTAGTCCCAGTGGTGCAACACACACTCACCTCCAGCACCTGAACCATTCCTTCATGCTCCCGCTTGGCGTATAACTGAGCCTGAGAATAAAAAAATAGAAAAAGACATTCATTTAGTGTAACATCGGTTGTTTGCTCATAAGAGCTGCGTTGACAAACTCGGCTTTATTGGTGGCCGAAGGTTGCCTCCTGCTGGACAAAGTCACCCATTCCACATAGTTGGGGTGAAAGCAGCCAGAGGGGACATGAGGGTTTTGATTTAGCAAGAAAAACATTAGTCAAACACATAAAGTGTAGAACTTACCCGCTGTAACCGTTTGATTTCATCCTGTTTGAACTTAAGGATAGCCAGTGCCTGCTCATGTTCCAATTCCAGCTGCTGCCTTCGCTCGGCGACCTCTCGCATATGCTGTTCGGAAAGATAAAATATATATTAGACGGCAGTTGTTGTTGTCTTTTCCAGTAGGAGGATAAGGGGTGAGTTTCTGTGCCCGGCCGTACCTGTAGGACCTGCTCTAAGTTCTCCAGTTTGGCACGGAGTCTCTGGTTCTCCTCGAGAACTGAATTGTGTTGAGCGGTCACTTCAGAGAGATCTTCCCTCAGCTCCTCATTCTCAGCCCGAGTCTGAAGAACAACAGGAGGAGAGAGGAGAATATTATTTCTCTGCGTCCATTGGTCGTCATTATTTTGAGCTTTTACTTCACAGCGTTACAGTCTCCTTGATTGTCTCGCTGGACCTACTGGGCATTCAGTTGGTGAGTAACATATTATATCAATTAACAGCTATGATTGCCAAAACTATGAAATTGAGACCCACTTCATAGTGAGAGAGAGAGAGAGAGAGAGAGAGAGAGAGAGAGAGAGAGAGAGAG